TCCCCTGCACGGTTACCCAGGATCACTCTCAGTCCCTGAAAACCCCATCAGTGCCAATGTGCCCACCCCAGTACCCCAGGCTGTTGAGCAGAGCCCCATGGGGACAAAACGCCGATCCCCTCCTGCACAGGCCCTGACCCCAAAGAGAATCCCCATCCGCTGTTGGCAGTACAGGGCCAATGACATACAGCTCCGCAGCTCCAGCTCCATCCAGCAGAGGGCGGCGGTGGCACAGCACCCTGGGTGGCTTATTGCCACATTCTCCCCCTACCTAGGGACAGCACTTTGCTGTTTTCCATCCCAAGCGCACAGCCCCAGATCCAACCCCCCTACCCCACTCCCCACCCCCAAACGCTGGTGCCGGAGTCTGCCGCACAGATCCAAGGGCCTTCTCTGCCGCATCACCGCCCAGCTGGCTTTGGCCAAGGGCCTGCACGAAACCCCCACGCAGCAAGGCCCCTTTACCTCGCCCCGAGATCCTCCGGCCTACGTGCCGTAGCCCAGGCCCGAGCGCACCGACTGCGGCACCCACCCAGCTTCCTTCCTCTCGACCCTGCCGGGGAAAAGCAACAGCGAGACCGAGAGGGGAGGATGTGCCGCTGCCAGACCCTAGACAAGCAGCCCTGGCCGGACGCCGCCCCACGGAGCCTGGCCCGCAGCGGCCCGTCCAGCCCCCGACAAACTCCGGGCTGGGGAAGCCGCCCGTCCCAGGGGATCTAAGCAGCTGTGGGACATCAGTGCCAACCAAGTCCAGCCAAAGCAAGCCCCAGTCGGATGGAAAGCGAAAGCAGCTCCCGCCCGTGCGCATGTGCAGCCAAGTCTGGAGGCTGGGTTTTGCCAGCTGCCCTGGCTGCGTGCCCAGAACTGGCCCACGGCTTGTTAAGGTCCCCGGGCGGCTGCCTGGACAGCGTTAGGTGGACAGGGTCGGTTTGCCGATCGCTCCCTCGGTAGCGGGATGGGGGTCCTCATGGGTTAGTGTCCCCCTGGGACCAGTCACCGGACCGGGGCTGGGTCCAGAACACCCCGAAGCGCAGGGTCATTGTCTGGGGGCGGCCAGGAAAGGGGGATGGAGACCCCGCGACCGCTGCGCAGCAACGACACAGATGACCTTTGAGCTCAGTGTCTGCGGCAGCAGCCCAGACAGGAAGGTGATGGGCCCTTTAGCAACGCCTAGACAGACGCCACAGCAGGGTAGGGGGCCCAGGCCTGTTTCTGCCCAGACCGTCCCCGTGGCCCGGCGGGGGCCCAGAAAGGCCACGGGCATCGCCTCTCTAGCAGGTTGGCATCTTCTCCCAGAGGGGCCCGGCCCAGAACGGGAACTCAGTCCACGTTGCCTGGCTCTTCGGGTCCCAGGGGGTGGACGGGCTGAAATCCCGCTCCCTGCACCTGCCCAGCCGCCCGGGGGGTGAAGCGGGGAGCCGACAGGGAGCGAGGGGTGAGATTGGCCCAGGGAGGGATGAGCTCATGCGTGAGGTTGCAGCAAACTCGGAACAGGGCCCAGCGCCAGCATCGAATGGAGTGGCGAGAAGCGCTGGGCACATAGCGCCGGCTGTCCTCGTGCTCCGTGTCCGGAGTCACCCCAACGCCTGGGGGAACCGGGAGGACCTGCCGGGCCAGCGCCCCTCACCCGATCACAGCCCCAGGCAGATGGCCGGGCTCGGCAGCTTGGATCAGATCCTGCCGCTCGGGGAGAAAGGAGCGGAACGAAGACGGACAAAGCTTCTGCAGTCGCTACGCTGGGCGTTCGGCCCCCTCGAGCTAGCCCCAGGGGCTCCCGCCTTCCCGGGAAATGTTCAGCGGAGACAAGACTGAACCGGGGCGGGGGGAACGGCAGGGAGGTTTGCAAAGCCAAAGGAGGGGCAGCTTGGCTCAGCCCTCCCGGCCTGGGGGACCCTGCCACCGAGGGCTCCCTCCTTGGCAGCAGAACCGCCCTGAACGAGGGCCCCGGAGCCAGTCAGCTCCGGGCCCCAGCCACGCCCTCCCTGGGCGCCGGGAGCCGGGGGGCTCAGATCCGCCCACCCAAAGGTCTGGCAGGTCCCTGCGCTGGGCCAGGGGGCCCTGGGCCTCCCCCACCAGCAATGGGAAGAGGGCGCAGCCGCACAGCTTACCCACTCCCAGCCAGCCATCGCAGCCCTGGCTTCCTGCTCCCACCCCCGGGGCCGCTCACAAACACCAGCCGAGCTGGAGCTGACGAGCCAGCCTGCGCTCGGCCTACACGTCGCAACTCGCAGCCTGGCGGAGAGCCGAGCAGCCCCACGCAGGGAAGGGAAGGGCTAACGGGTGAGCGCAGGCACCGCGGGGGCTTCTGGCTCCGTCCCAGACCCACTTCAGCTCCTGGAGGGGAGTCGTGGGAGAGGCTGGGCCTTCCGGATGGGTGTGAATTAACACCCAGGAGCGTCAAGAACTGATGGGGCAGCTCTGCCGGTGCCCCTCACTCCTGACCCGCAGCCCACTGCCGGCCCAGTCCTGGGCCCCCCTCCCAGCTCTGCCGGTGCCCCTCAATCCCAACCCGCAGCCCACTGCCGGCCCAGTCCTGGGCCCGCCTCCCAGCTCTGCCGGTCCCCCTCAATCCCAACCCGCAGCCCTTGCTAGTCCAGCCCAGGGCACCCTTCCCTGGGCCGATGCCAGGTCTGAGCAGCAGATAAATGCGCCCATTTCCCAGGTCCCCATCCACCCCCCAATTACAGACGGGGGGGGGCTCCACAGCTAACACCTGGAGCTCTGGGGGGGTTCGGCGGCTACGTCCACACAAGGAGCTGGTTCCCAGCGTACCGTACTGAGCTCTGCGGGTACCAAGGGCAGCGTAGCCGGGGTAGCAGCGGCGGAGGCTCGGCTGAGCCGTGGGCATGTCCCTTGACACGGTTCGGCCGGGCTGCCACGGCCACACTACTCTTCACCCAGGCCCGGTCCGTGAGCGGGGAGCACATCCCTCACTCGCAGATGTAACCTGACGCTGACCGTTCCGGGGGGGGGACAACGCCCCTGGACCCCTCCAGGGGATGCAGCCCAACACACCAGCCAGCCCTGCACTCGCGGGCCGAGGCGTCGCTGGAGAGCGTGCGTGAGGCCTGCCGGGAGCTGGCTGGGACCCGGGGGACGCACTCTGCGCTTTGGCGAGGAATCTGCCCTTGTCGCCCGCTCTCAGCCCCCATCACTAGGGTCCTGTAGGCAGCAGACAGCCGCAGCCCTGCCCCAAAGAACTGCCAGGCTAACACAGGGCGAGGGACCTGGCTCCCAAGCCACAGACTGGAGGGATGGGACCCACACCTCCTTCCCTCTGCCGGGCTGGGGCCGTCCAGGGCCGGGTAAGTATCCGCTCAGCAGGGCCACACTGAGCCAGACGAGCACAGAATAAAGCCGGCTGTGTCCCCCACACCGCACTCCCCAGCGATGGCTGTCACCGCGGGCTATCTGCCCCAGGAGAAGGGGCTGGCCGGGCCACGCACTCACCCCTGCAGATCGGGCCCATCTTTGGTCAGGCTGAACTGCCCGTTGACCCCCTCGCCTTGCCCTCCTTGTGGGTCTGCCCCGGGGGTGCCCTTGCACAGACAAAAGCTTGCTTGCTTTCCGTGCCAGTTACTGTCTAAGCTGGGGGTGGGGGCGCTGGCAGGCCGGGGAGGGGCAGGCCAATGCACAGATGACATTACGACTTCGGCAACGACGTGCGACCCCGCGGTGCGAATTTTCTCACGGGCTGGATGTGCAGGGCCTGGCCGCCCCTCCCCGGGACAGAATCCATGACAAAAGGGGCTGGGCTGCGGGGGGCAGGAGCCTCGGCGCTCCTTCTGGGGGCTGGGAGAAGTGGCCCCCATCAAGCTCTGGCTGCTGTAAGAGCAGCAGCATCACCCCGGCTCCGTCACACACCTGGGCTTCTCGGCCTTTTGTCAGCCGCTCGTAAAAGCCCTTGTAACTCCGAGCCTGGGCTCTTTGATGAGCCGCAGGCTCTGGTTGGCGCCTGGGTGTGAATCGTGGCTCTGACCCCCGCTGCAGAGGGACTGACAAAGGGAGAGAATGGGGGGGGGGTCCCCAGCCCCATCTCACATTCCCAGCCAGCGAATACCTCACGGGCGCAAAAACCAGGGCAGGTGCAGAGTGGGATCTTACCCCGCCCCCACTGCCCATGGGTCTCCCCGGTGCTGCGGAGGGGCATTCTCGCAGTGAGCAGCGCGGTCAGGCAGAGCCTGGCCCAGTCAGGAGGTGCCGTTAGAGACGGGACAGAGAGGGCATTGCCCAGGGCCTTGTCCCGGCTAATTTCATGCCCCCCAAGGGCCGGGTCTCCACGGCCCAACAGGTCTCTCTGGGGCGGGGAAGCTGATTGTGCTGGTTAGCCTGTTTCTCCTTCATTTTCCCACCCCCCGGCTACACCCCTGGAGCCCCTCAACGGTCCTCACCATCCTTGCGCCTTTGAAACACACGGATGCTCTTCTGTCCTCTGCCATCGCTCGGCCAAGCCAGACTCACTCAGGGGTTCCACCCGTCCTCGCAGGCCCCCCGTTCTCACTGCCGTTCTCAGCTCCGGCCACTGCAGGACGGAGGGGCCTGGCCCGGAGAGAGTCAGGGCAGTTGTGATGCCCCCGTCTGCTCCGCGCCACACCTCTGCTCAGCCCGCCCCAAACCACAGCCACAGGGCACCAGTTAACCAGGACACAAGGACTCACTCTGCCCTGGCCAGGGGAAGGCGCTGGTGACCCGCTGGGGCAGGTTGGAATCAGTGACCTACAAGTGACAGGGCGCTGACCCCAGTCCCCTTGCCTCACGCCCCTACAGCGGCAAGCGGGGCCCGAGCCCCCTGGTCTGGGACAGGCTGAGGCAGGTGCTGACGAAGCAGAAGCAGACGAGAGCCGAGGCTCTGGGTTCTGTACTGGAAAGGGCTCCAGACAGCAGCCCGAGAAAGCACAGGTGGCCGACACCAGCCGAGGGTGCTGAGCTGTTCCCGGGATGAGGGCGGGATAAGAACCTGGACCGACCAGACCAGAATGAACTTACAGACACCAGCAAAGGAGGAGAGCGGGTGGATTTTATTGTACTTCCCTTCCAGGAACCCAATTTCCCAGGGTCGTGGCAGATTCTCCCCCGCGAAGTTTTTAAATCAAGCCGGGCTGTGTTCTCCAAAGCTCTGAGCTCGGGATATCTGGGGGCAGGTTTCTGGCTGGCCACGCAGGAGGTCAGACTAGATGATCACAGTGGTTCCTTCTGGCCTTGCAATCGATGACAGCAGCATTCCTCTTGCTACCCCATTCTGGCACCGCTCAGCCTCCACCAGCCCACTGCGGGAGGGAGCAGACCCCCGGCTGACGGGTAGGAGACAGCAGCTGGACCAAAGAGCCCAGCGGGAAGCTAGGTGTGAATGTCCGGGTTAGTGCCCCGGCGCCTGCAAAGCAGCATTGTTGCTCAGTGGCTTTCCCGTCCACGCCGACTCTCCGGGCGCTGCTGGAGAGAAATCAGCGTGTGGTTCACAAACCAGCATCCGCCTACATCATCAGAGCGAGGCACTGGAGAAAACGAGTGAGAGAGGAGAGAGCAGCCATACGGGAGGAAGGCACGGCATGCCCACGCTGTGAGGTCTGGTGAGCTCGCTGGTAGTTACCCCGAGGGGACCGCAGAACTGAATTCACCTGACAGCTGGGAACACTCCTGCCCCCCCAGCAGCGTTACCTGTATGGCGTCAGACCGGCGTGCATGCCGCGAGCACCACAAAATAGCAGCTCCTGGGGATGCACGGGGATGGAGAGCGGGTTTGTGCGGCTCTGATGCGGAGCTACGTCTGCCGATGTGTAACTATTGCGCTCCTGGGATCAGAGGTGCCATCACACGCACCCCCACCCCCAGGGATCCCAGCAGCAGGGCCGGCTCCAGCTTTTTTGCCACCCCAAGCGGCGAAGAGAAAAGAAAAAAAAGCCAGGACCGGCGGTATTTCGCAGGTGCTGTACAGCGCTGCTTCATTCGTCGTCGGCAATTCGGCGGCTGGTCCTTCCCTCCGAGAGGGACTGAGGGACCCGCCGCCGAAGACCCGGACGTGCCGCCCAAGCACCAGCTTGCTGCGTTGGTGCCTGGAGCCGGCCCTGCCCACTGAACTACATTCCGGAGCTGGTGATACCCCAACTCCCAGGCCTGGCTGGACAGTCACAAAGTGCCACTAGCAGCAACAGCAGCCACTGTCCATCGGGGCCAGCTCAGAGCGAGCCCGGATGATACGAGATGAAGGAGTGCCCCCCTTCAGTGTCTGACAGGGAAACCCCCTATCCCACCAGGGCACTGGTGCCTGCAGGACTCATCAGGCAGCTGGCAGCTCCCCCCAGGACACCCTGGAGGGCAGGAAGGAGAGGGTTGGGCCCAGCCCCATCACCAGTCCCGCTCGGTGGGCTCCCGGTAGGGCAGCCCCAGCAGCACGAAGACGTCCCTCTCAGTGGGGGTGGGCAGGACGAGGCCGGGCCCCACCTTGCGGCCGCCGGGGGCGCGCACCACGGCAGTGTGGAGTGCGTGCTCTGACAGGCTCATGCCCTTGGTCTTGGCCAGCGCTCGCATGGAGCGGTTGAAGTGGGCCGAGCCGGTGAAGTACAGGAGGGCGCAGGCGAACTCGCTGTGGGGCACCACGATGATGTCGAGGCGCCGGTGGCGCCGGCCCGGCCCTGGCAGCCGGCACACGCCCAGGTACTTCTTCTGGGTGCCGCTGTCTTCTTGGCTCACCAGGTCGTCGGTGAGGAAACCTGCCAGAGGAGCAGCGTGAGAGGAGGGGTCGGGCTGTGACCCCACCCTCTTCCCTGGCTCCTGCGGAAGCATCCCATAATCCACTGCACGGGTCCCTGGGCACCTCCTAAAGGGGGCTCCTGGGCACTGGCTCTGGGTGCAACGGGAGCACTCGCCAAGCCGCACCCACTGCGCCGGCAGCACCAACGCTTGGCCGCCTTCGAACGAGGGTCCTGTTGGGAGCCGCCCCCGCCGCAGCACCGAGCCAGCCAGCTTCCCGAGCTCTGTCCCAGGCCCCCCGAGTGAGAATGCCCCCGGGACCAGCTGGGGTCCATCGAGCCCAGCATCCTGGCTCAGACAGGGGCCAGGACCAGATGCTGCCGAGGAAGACCCCTGCGGCAGGTACTATGGGGCACCCACCCACAGGGAAAGTCCTCCTGACCCCCAAGACAACAGACCATCCTGGATTCAGCCCTTTAGTGTCTGATCCACAGGCAGGGCAAGGGCCACGCGCCGGCCGCTCGCACTGACACAAACCCCTTCGCCTCCCATCGCGGAACGTGCCAGCCAGCCGCCCGGCTGCAAGCCACGTACCGCTCCGCCGCAGGCTGTCAAGCAGCTTGCCGAAGACGCCGCGGTGAGACTGCCCGTCAGGGTGGGTAACCAGGACGTCCACATCGCCGCAGGTGGCCTTCCCCCGTCGGTACGAGCCGCACGCCATGCACACCAGCCCAGGGTTCAGGGACCGGGCTGCTTCTCGCACCTTGGGGAAGAGTCGGGATCAGGAACCAGAGACCAGCACTCGCCTCCTAATGCCCTGGCCCAGTCTCCACGGTGCCCCCACACAAACAGCACCACCTGCTGGCCAAAGCCCGGTGCTTGTAAAAGGCACCAGCACCTTCCGCTCAGCACCGCTCTGCCTACGCAATGCAGCACAGACACTCAACTCTTCAGAGGCCGCCTGCCTCCACACCGGGCCATTTAGGGAACGTCTGCGCAGCAGCTGGGAGCTGCCGTGTAGATGGACCCGAAAACGGCCGAGCAACCCTGGCCTGCAGTCACGGGGCGGCCTTGGCGAGTCTGAGTTTGTGCTGCCAACCCCTTTGAGGGGGACTGGGCTGGATCGGAGTTCATGGGGGATCTCAGCAGCAGAACGCATGGAGAGTGGGGGAAGTAAAGGCAGGGTACAAGTGATGGGGAGCCCAGAAGCCTACAGATAATTGGCGGAGTGGCAGCAGGCTTTCAGCTCTGCTTCCACCCGTTTCCCCGTGGCTGGCTGGCTCTGCTGCTGCAGGTCTGCGCTGAACCAAAGCTCTGGAGAGCAACTAAGGACCGAGCAGGCAGAGTTCAGCAGCAACTCACAGGTGGGCCGGCCGGAGAAGCAGCCCCAGCCCCTGGCTAAGTGATAAACAACCAGGAAAGAGACACGGCCCAGAAATAGCCCAAAGGCCGGAATGCCCAGCGGAGCTTCTCACCAAACTGCTGCACTGTGGGTGTAGATTTAACGCACCTCCCTCCCCAGGCCTGCTAGCCAAGTGCACAGCCTGGCCCCTACCTAGCAGGGCTCCAGGAGAGTGGGTCTCTGGCTTGGCAAAAACGGGCAGTCTAATGATATTAGACACGTTTGCCATTAAAGTGCCATGTATCTACAGCCACGCACGGGTAGCTAGGGGGCCTCCCATCCCAAGGGATACAAATCAATCTCATAGAACTGGAAGGGACCCCCAAAGGGTCATTGAGTCCAGCCCCCTGCCTTCACTAACAGGACCAAGTACTGATTTTTGCCCCAGATCCCTAGGTGGCCCCCTCAAGGATTGAACTCACAACCCTGGGTTTAGCAAGCCAATGCTCAAACCACTGAGCTATCCCTCCCCAAGAGCCTTACAAACCACAGAAGTTGGGATTGCTTTGCCTGTGTGCTGAAATGCAGCCACCTCTGGGGTGGAACCCGGCAGCTATTCTGCATGGGCAATGCGAGCCAGCCAGTTCTGATGGCTTCATTCCCGAAATGCTGGAGCGGTGCGAAGGGCTATTCCGCTGCCAATCACACTGACAGCCACAAATCATTCCAACACCAGCTCTTCCCCCTGCCCCGGCTCAGACAAGCCCAGCCTGTCCAGGACACAATGGCGGGGGCAGGGAAAGCAGGCTGGGGCTCGAAGGGGGGTGTCAATCTCAACTGTCCCGAGTCAGTCTCCAGGATCATCCTTCATTAGGGAGAGAGAAACCCATTAACCTTTGCCCCAGAGGTGCTCTGAGAAGCCAGGCAGCTTTTCTCATGCAGATCGACCCCTCCCCTGCTCCCTTTCTTGCCTCAAATGAAGATTTCTAGACAACTACAAGCCCGGCTGGAGTCTGAAAGCGCCTCAGATCTTGGTGTGAGAGGCAGCACGGACGGTGGCTAATCCCGTCATTCTCCTGTCTGTCTCCTGGGGCCCAGATCCCAGGTGGGGGGGGAGACGCGTAATCCCCTCAAACCAACAACAGCCCCACCCCTCCTCCCTAAGGGCCAACGCTACACCCTAGCGGGCTTGGGAACGAGGCGGCTGGCTCCTGAAATAACTCTAATCCCGCAGTGGGGATGGCAGCGCCGGCGGGGGCGTATTCTTCGCGGCCAGGCCCCGTGGCCGAGTGACAGCGTTGCACTGGCCGCTGCTTCCATGGTGATCACAGAGCAGGAGGGAGCAATGACAGAGCGAGCCCTCCCCCAGCTCTCTGCTAGCGCGGGGGCAGATTGGGAATTCAGGGCACCCCGGGCTGAGCCAGCGTCCAGGGCGAGGTAAGGCCTTGATGCAGAGGAACGTTCTGGGGGGTGCGGGAGGGGCAGATACAGCCCGTTTCCCTCATATGGGGATTTTTCATCCAACGATGCTGACCCCGGCCTGATGACCAGCAATGGCTGCCCCCCATGAGGCACTCCCAGAATCCTTTGCAGAAGAAGTGCCAAGGAGGGGGCACAATGGTTTGCGTGGCTCAGGAGGACCTGGGTGACGGCAGCTGGTTCCGTGGGAGATCAGCGACAGAGAACAGGCGCTGGAGGGTAACATGCAAACTGCCCCCTTCGTAAGTTACAGGAGGGATTAGTGCCAGGGACAGACCTGTATACACACACCCAGCCCTGCTCTGTTGGTAAAGAGCCACTCCACTAGCTCTCATCCTTCCTGCCATCCTGGATTGCCAGCGCCAGGGATTTCAACCACAGAGATCCCTTTGAATCACAAACCCAGCACCCATAGCCCAGGGCTGCTGCAGTCTAAACCGCCATGGCAGGGAACGTTCCCAGCTCCCATTGCTCCAGGGCGCAGATTGTCAGGGAGGAAAACCAGACTCCAGCTGGCCTGGCAGTTGTTGGACTGTGCTCAGCACCGCTGCAAATCGAAAAACTTGGGGCATGACACTGAACTGGTGTGTGTGTGTGGCGGGGGGGGGGGGGGGAAGGGGGGGCAGGCACTTTGAGATCCTCAGATGGAAGTCCCTGGCAAAACACTCAGTTAACAACTCGGCCCTTGGCAGCTCCTCCGAGCAGGGCAGGGCATCTGCTGCAGGAAATGTCCTACGGCCTTGCTGGACACAGGAAATGAACTTCTCGAAGACTCAAAATGAGTCTGGGTCCCTTTTTTGTTTGTCTTTTTATTTTCATTGCTGCCCCTGCACTTTCACCCGGCTTGGGACCCAGAGTCCCAGCTCTGCTTGGGGACAGGCTGGGAACCTCCAGAGAGAGCCCAGCTCTGCAGGCCCAAGAGCGTGGGAACCTTTGGGTGTCAGCCCCCTGCCTGTGATTCCCTGGGGCTGGGCTACTTACAGTCTGTTCTATTTCGGCAGCCTCCTCTCGCGGCATTCGCTCCAGGAAGTCTTCGTAGTGCTTCAACCCTACGGCCTGCTGGCGGGTCAGACGAGCCTGGGTGCGGATATCGTCCAGGGTCCGGAAGCCCTGCCCCAGAGCACATGGAGACATTCAAACAGGGGGATCACTGCAGGGATTTTGGGGATTGGTCCTGCTTTGAGCAGGGGGTTGGACTAGATGACCTCCTGAGGTCCCTTCCAACCCTGATATTCTATGATTCTATGACTTCGCTCCTCCAATGCCCCCACCACGGGTCTAGGGGGTGTCACGGCTCAGGTGACCAAAGCCGCTGGGCCCAGACCTTACCCAGGGAAGCGACCCTACTTGTACGGCTCCCCCTGCCCATGGGGACTCCAGTGCCCACAGGACCGTTAGGCATGCAGTTTGGACGTCACGACGACGAACGCTGCCTCACCACACATCAGCACAGCGTCGCCGCAGGCCAGCCTGTGATGTGGGTGCGAGTCTAGCACCCAGATCAAGCCTGTTCGATTCCAACATGAAACACCCCAGGCAGCCTCTCGCAGGCCTAGCCTAGGTTCTAGACCCCCCCCGCCGACAAAACATTCACAGGGCAGCCAAGCCACAGAACTGACGGCTCCCCACAGCTGTCCCATAAAACCTTATCGCTCCCACCCTTCCCCACACACCGACTTTGGTACATGCCCTAAAGTCCAACAAATACGGGCTCTGGCAAACCAGACTGGAGTGGTGAATTCCAAGGCCACAAGCCCTTCCCAGAGAACATCCTGCCATCAGCCCCGGCTCCTGCTTGGGCACCTCCTGTGATCTCAGCTGTGGCAGTACAGCCTAGGGAGAGGGGTCTCACACACACGCAGCCCTTGAGGGTCAAACCCAACACCTTCAACCCACCGGAAACACCCAGGCAGCCAGTGCAGTTCACAGAGCCTGAAGTCACGTGCTCACAGCCAGAGACACTGCTTAGCACACAGGCTGCTGCATTTTGCACCCAGTGCCGCTTGCACAGGATTTAAGAAGCAGCCGTGTGCTTAGGGCGTTACGAGGGGCTGAGCTTGGGGTGACAGAGCAAAGAGGGGAATGCTCTGCTTGCAAAGAGACCGTTCTGAGCAGCCATGCTGAAACGCTGCCGGTGAGCACAGTGGGCAGAGGAATAGCAGGAGGGAGCCCGCTATGGCCCGACTTGGCTCACGGTGTCTGAGAGCACACACACTCCATCGGATAGGAGGAGACAATGACCTGTTGGTACCACATCTGGGCTTTCTTGACTCCGGCTCCCCAGATGTTGGAGAAGACCTCCAGCACTGCCACGCTCTCGCTGATGTGGTCCAGCTTACGCAGGTGGCCGCTCTCCAAGATCTCCAGGATCTTCTCCGCCATCCACTTCCCGATCCCAGGAATCTGACAGACTTCCTAAAGGCAAACACAAAGGAGCAGCCGGCTAACGGGCAAGCTACTGAGCTGCCCCAGGGCTCAGAGACGGGAAAGCCCAGGGGGCTGGTTCACACCTCTGAGCCAGGTTAGCACTCAAGCAGTGGATGACAGCACCGGAACAGCAGGGCATGGGCTCTGCACAGGGTACCTCTCGGCCAGTTTACGGCAGGCTGACACGTCGTGGGACACAGTGTAACCGTATAACATTGATCGGACACATCGGCAGCCGCGAATGTAGCAAGTGCGTCAGCACCTCAGACATGCATCCAGCTCTGCCACTGGCCAGTAGCTGAGGCTTCAGCAGAAGGAGAAAGGCCCCTCCCTGCGCTGCTGCTAACTGAACGAGGCAGTAATGCGGGAAGGAAATTACTCCAAAGCTGGGCCCGCCAGCCTGCAGAAGCTCAAGGCTCCATTCCTCTTGCTATCTTCTTACTCCCGCTTGAAGACTTGAAAATACCACTCATGCTCAATGAATCATATTCAGGCTGACTGAACTGGTCATGTCCACAGCCTCCCATGGCAGGGGCCAACTCCGGGGAACTGCACGTCTGGAGAGAGGACCAGGCAGCCTTGTGATTAAGGCCCAGTTCTGAGAGTTAGGACTGGTCCCTATTCCCACCTCTCCTGCCGATTTCACCCTGCTCACAGGATAGTGGGTTTCTAGTTACCTGGTAAGAGGTGACTGGTTTGTGGTAGCTCTTGAGTGCATTGATGGCTTTGGAGTAGCCCAGAGCCCTCCACTTGTCCCCCTGGACGGTGTAGGCTTTTCCCAGCACTTCCAGCTTCTCTGTGATGTGCCGGTTGTGATTCTCTTTCTTGCTGTCAGAGGACTGAGCACAAACCCACTTGCCAGCAGCAGGGGGCACTGTGGTAGAGCTGCCACTGGACGGCCCCGAAGAGGTGTCAGGGCAACGTCCTGAAATTAGTGCTTCCAGGTCTCCCTGGGTGACGCTGGTCTCTTCCCCTTCGCTTCCTTCATCATCAGAGACCCTCTTCAGGGAGAGACAGAAAAGCAGCAATGAAATAATGCCTGTGCCTCTCAAACACTTCCTTGGCACTGGCCCCAGCATTCCCTGGGGCAGGAAGTCACCACAGCACTAGGGGAGGCGGGTAATCTCCAGTGTGTGCTGAAGTGCTGTTACAGTAGTGGGAAGTGGCTGTGTTCTCTAATGATCCATGGCTGTGTATACACCAATCCCACCCCCAATCACACCTAGTTCACACCTAAGGCACAGGGGAAAGAGGCAGCTGCATATCAGGGGAGTGATCTGGGCTTTTGAGGTGACTAGGATGCAAGGGGTTCCACAGATGTGAGATACTAGTGTAACCAGCAGCAATGGAATGGCTTTTATGCTCTACAGGCTGCAGCCACTAGAGGGTGACATTGTCACCTAATCGGAGCTGACACTCCAGTCAGTGGAGGGCAGTGGTAGTGCACAGATGCACATGGTGGATATTCATGCAAAAACCGGTGTTACTGAAGTGTTACGGTTGAGCAGTTAAAAAGTCGGGCAATGTAAAAGTTAGCGTTCAGAAATCATCCACCAGCTGCGTTGCACTTCCTGGCTATTTCATGCCATGCAGCGTGGTAGAGTTGACACTGTTGGAACATTAAGTGACAGAAAAGCCAGGGAGTGGGAAAACGTAAACTGTGCAACCCTATTATTTCACTAACACCGATTTTTGCATTTTATTTCCTAGAAAAAAAAATGAATGAAGCCTGGAGCTCAGAGTCGGCAACAAGGCTTGTAAGCTCTTTAAAGCAACCTGTGCAAACTTAACTAGCCACACCTGAATGCACAGCACACATCCCCTCAAGTGCACACTTGTAGCCTTAGTCAGTCTGTGATTTTCAAATGCTCATCATTGTGTTAAATCAAAAACATTTTTTCCAAACCTAGAAAAGAGCCTATGGGTAAATGAGGCTATTTCCAGGCTAAGATTCCAACCTCACCCTTTCCTGCTATACTTGTGTCTTAAAAGAATGGTTGGAACTTTCTTTAAAGTGTTTTTTCCCCCTCACCTAATCCTAAAGATGACTCAAGAAATGTTGCTCAAATGCTTAAAAAGACTGCTCTCCTCCACAGACCAGGCCTGGAAAATTTAATCACAGAAGGTAACTTTATGAAAAAGTTACAAGTCTGCAACCAAATCTCAACCACAGCAGATGCTGCCAAGCGACCACTATAATAAAACTCCTCACAAAGCAGGAGGCCTGCAATGGAATCCCTACGTCTATTACAATTGTCCCTAATAGTGGGGTTCGTTAATAGTGATGATTACGACGTTAGCAAGTGATGCAAATATCAGCAAAGAGAGGGGAATGCTAGGAAGGGGCCTGGAGAGATTGGAAACGTGGGCACAGGAGATCGTGCCTGTAATATACCAGCTAATATATCTAGGGGACAAGGAGGGAGAAACCTTAACAAAGAGGGAACCAGTGGACAGCAAGTTAGGTCCTGGCTGGTGTTCTGTGCCAGCGCACGGCCATGGCAACTGGGGGCAGAGACACCACACCACAGAGCAGAGGAGCAGCTCACTCTCTAGGTGGCCCTGGGACGTTCCTGGCTGGAGAGCATCTTACCAAAAAGAAGTCAACAAACGGGAGCGAACTCAGAAAAGGGGGAAAAGATAACACAAGGTCTGGAGAGGCTGCCTCTGCGAGGTATTGTCCGACCCCATTACTGTAGTACCTGACACCTCGCAATCTTTAACGGATTTATCCTCAACACTCCATGAGGGCAGGGCTGTTATCCCTACTGTGGGGAACTGAGGCCGAGAGGCTAAATGACTTGCCCCAGGTCACACAGGAAGTCTCTGGCAGAGCACAGACCTGAACCACGTCTCAAGTCCCAGGCTAGCGCTCTAACCACTGGATCATCCTTCCTTGCGCTGAGACGGACTCACAGGGAAGGAGTCTAACAACCTGATGTGTATATTCCGAGTGCAAGCGATTGGGTGCTGGGAAACAATATGATCTCTTGTAGCTGTATGGGTGTCAGAAGGGGTAACCCCATGGCGTGGGGAACTGGTTGGGGTGAAGTATCAGAGAAAGCTTCCTAGTAGGGAGGTGTCTTAGGCTGGTGAAGTCTCCCCAAGGATGCAGGGGAAACACTGGAGTTTTCCGGCTTAGCTTGGCCAAAGCCCTGGGACTTGCTCGGCTGGGAATGGTCCTGCAGGACAGACACCTAGAAGGTGTTTTCCCCCCTCGAACATCCAGGAGAGGCAGAGAGAAGCAATAACAACGCCCACATCGCTGAAAACCCCAAACACTGTCGCCGCCTTTTGGCTGGGGTAGAAACTGACACTTGTTAGCCTTGCTCGGCTAGCACGAGCCAACAGAGCAACCACGCAGCGTGTTTGGGATGACACTGACCTGGGTTTGAAGGCTTTGCTCCTCCACATGTTGCTGTACTGAGGTGGCTGGGCCCAGAGGCAACATGGCTGCTGTCTGTGCTTCAGCCTTCAGCTCCAGTGCGTCCTTTCCTGGCTGGGGTTGGACAGTCTCACTGCTCAGGAGCTGCTGTTCCCCCTTCGGCAGATCCCCCTCCTCCAGGTACCTGCCAGGGGCCAACATGGAGCTGAGCAGATTCACACGCAAGGAACACAAAGACTTCTCAGCCCAAACCCAGGCTGGGAAATCCTCTCTCTGGTTTGGGGATGGGGCAAAGAGCTAGTGTTCGCTTTGCTCAGCCACGCTATAGATTCATTGCTCTGGCTATGCCTGGCTCCCTCACACCTCACTGACTGCCACGTCTACCCCTTGCTAGTCCAGCCCTGGGCTCCTCCTACACAGCTCTGCGGATACGCCTCAGGCCTGACCTGCAGCCCCCCACTAGTCCATTCCCGGTCCGTTCCTGGGCTTAATTGCCAACCTGCTCTCTGCTTTCCATCTGCAATACGCAGGAAATGGTATTTAATTGTTAATCGTTGTATTAGAAACATGCCCTTGTTATCGCTAATGAATCGGGAATGTGTCCAGCAGTTAGAGCAGGTGACTGAGAACCAGGATTCTTGGGTTCTATTCCCAGCTGTGCTATGGACTCACTGGGTCACCTTGGCACTCTGTGCCTCAGTTTCCCCATCTGTGACATGAGAATGATATTGACCCCACCAGCAAGGGGGTTACGAGGCATCATGGATGAAAGGTCTCTGGGTGAAAGGTCAAGATCTCAGCCCAGTTCGGGCAGGGACAGAGCTGCTGCCGGGGGGGCTGAATACCTGTCTGGGATGAAGATGCTGTACCCAGTGGTATCTAGCAGCTTCTGCTCTCTAATGCACAAGCTCAGCCAGGCTGCCTTCACCAGCTGGATCCCGGGGGGAAGCCTGGCCAGTCTGAGGAGGCGAAAGGCCCGGTCGCAGTCCATGTCTTCTGCCACTATGACGTGCGTCACCTCCGAGGAGAACTGGCTGCAGACGCGGCCCCCCTTCTGGACAATCTGCGTGTGAAAGATCTCTGCCCGGGCCCGCCCGATGCCCGCTGGCAGCACGTAGGCTGTGACCGGCTTCAGCCATTCTACAAAGAGGAGGCACAAGGGAGAGACATGGGAACAGCTTCCCAAACGGAACAGGTTACATACCTTGCATGGCCTTACTGGGACTGTCAGCAGTGTCTGGCCCCAGGACGACAGAGACCATGGGGGGCCCTGGCTTGACACACAGAGTTGCCTAGCCACAGCCCCCTCCCTATCCCCCGGACATCAGGGTTGCTTGGCACCAAATGATCTGATAGTACTTCAGGAAAGATCTCACCCTACATCTGCAGTTAATAAACAGGGACATGAGTCTGACAGATTGTGTGGAGTGGGTGTGGGTAGTACCTTCAATGCTCCCAGTTTCCTCCTCTTTCAGGACCTTTGGAGGGACCTTCCTCTCTGAGTCATCCCTCATCTTCTTCCTCTTTGGAAAGGCTTTGACAATTCCCCTGGGCTCCATGGATTATCATTACAGGGTGTCCCCTCCCTGGGCAGGCAGTTAACGTTCCACTCACTGAATACCAAAGATAAAGACAAGAATTGTTTAGAATGCCACCATGTGGGCAAACATGTGTTTCCCTGAGTTCTCAGAAACAGCTGAACCGTTTTTACCGAAACTTTCCAAAAATACTCAGCCTGAGGCAGACACCCGTAAAGGAAAATTTCAGCTACAGTTTGGCAAAGTTATAAGCAACTGAAAAGAGGTTCTTCTAATGGAACATGTCAGATAACTAACTGTAGGTATCGCTACCAGCTCCGCATATAGTAATCACCTTGTAGCCACTTCCCAGCTTAGACAGAGGAACAGATTCCTCCAGCACTGAAATGCAGCCACCTCTGGGGTGGGATGTGGTGGCTGTTTAACACTCAGACACCATCACTACCTAGGACAGCAAAAGGAGGAGAACCTGGTCTCCAGCTTCAGCTGCAAGTGAAAATTAGCGAGGTATAAAGTAACTAACTGAATTCATATTTGGTCACACCACCAGAGTTAACACCCCAAAAATAACATTGGATCTTGCCTCAGGGCAGGGGCTGGACTACATGGCCTTTCCAGGTCCCTTCCAGCCCTACATTTCTACGCGACTGTGATCTTTAATGACCATCCATGAGTGATCAGGGCCTTCGTTTTCATCCCATCCAAAAGCCAGAACCCTCCGGCATCACAGTCCACTAGCACTATGCTGGAGCTTTGATTCTCTATGGACTCTGAGAGGGTCCAATTCCTGCAGCATCTGGGTTTTGCTTAGAGATCACTCATCCAAGTACTGAGGCAGCCCAACCCTGCGTGGCTTGCAAGATATAATAAACCCACAGCCAGTTTGGTTCTAACAGGAACACAAGCTAAGTGTCCATACAAGGCCAACACAACCCTGCATTTGGTTTTCAACACTAGAGGGGAAGTTTTAACTTAAGAAAGAAAAAGAACCTGTACATTTTAAAAATTCTAATTCATGAAAACATTTCTGTTCCTATGAAGTTTTGTCAGACGCTTCCTTTAAAAAATGGCATTCTGGGGGCTGAAGTAAAATCCTCTTGAACTCTTCAGAGATTTCCACCACGTTGCAAACAGACCCGACACTCCGGAGATCATTACGGGCCAAGAATACTAGAAGTGGGGTTGCCGCACTGATCCCAGATTGGACCGCACCACATCCCAGCCAGGCAATTCAGGGTGAAGAGCAAGGTGCTGTGAGGGGCGGGGGGGGGGGAACCAGAGCTCACTGCAGGCATTTCAAAAGCAACCAGCAGCGTGGATAAAAATCAATGATTTAAAAAAAAAATCTGATTTTTTAATAAAATGCTTTTTGAGGGAAAAACCTATCTAAAGATAGTTTGAATTAAGATACATTATAGCTCAAAGATATCTCATCATGTAATAGGGATTATTAAGTCTAATTCTATAGTGTGAGACAATATATTCATGTAATGTTTAAGAAAAGTTTTGTAAATGAGTTCCAATAGTTCATGGATTAGGGACCCAATCTTATGGGGTTCCAGGGGCTTCTGTATAGATTATTTAGGTTAATCTTTCTATCTACCCAATGGGACTCAGTGCTCAGTTTAGGAGATACCATCAGAGATACTTAGTTTCGCAGTTCTCAAACTGTGGATTTGTGTCTCCAGAGGTAACATGCTTGTTAACAGCAAAAATGTTTAAAAAAAAATAAATAATGTATAGAGGTGAGAAATAACAGACCTCAACCCTATTGTCCCTCTGCAAATTTGTGTACACAGTGTCAATCCCTTATCTCTCTCTAAAAGTGCAAAGTTTCAAAAAGTTCAATGAATAGAAAGAAGATTGTTGGGGGCGGAATAGATCTGGACAAGGAGAAGTCTGGAGATAAATGTGAGAAGCAAGGGACATATGCTTGTTTTGTTACAATATTGGATGTTTGCTGTTGAAGAAAAAAATCCAGAATACTTAACGTTTTAGTTAAATAAAACAATTTAAATGTCTGTCTGGTGATGTTCTCCTCCTAATACAGCATGGCAAGAAAATCCTCCAAATATTAATGATTAACCTGTTGAATTGGAGATAGTTCACCTCCCAATGCCTTCATAAATATCTGCTTCAGTTACCTTTGGTAAATGAAATAACCAAACAATCATTCAGTTTCTGATATAGTTGCAAAACTAATCTGAAAAGTTTTCAAAATAAATCACTGTTTAAAAATGTATAGCGTGTACCTTCTAGAAATGAAACCTACATCTATCTCTGAGTTGTGAAGAATATGTATTAAGGTTATAACAACCAACAAGAATGCACTTTTATGTAGAAAATCATGATTAAATCAAGTCTTCCTGACTAGTGATTTAAATCAAATCCACCCGGGCAACCAGTGATTTGGATGCCTCTATCTCCGGGTACCAACCCTGAGACCCGCGCTCAGCACTTACTGTGGACCAGACCCCTTCAGGGGATCTCACATCAGGGATGGGGGAAGGGAGAAAGGACCCCTGGTACCCCACACTGGGGGGAGGGACCCCAGCTTGAGGGGGGAGGAGAGAAGGGGCCCCCATACCCCACATTGGGGGGAGAGAAGGGGCCCCAGCTCCCCAGCCATGGGGGAGGGGAGAAGGGCCCCCCGTACCCCACACTGGGGGGGAGGGGGAAGAAGAGGGCCCAGCCATGGGGGAGGGGCCCCGTACCCCACACTGGGGGGAGGGGGAAGAAGAGGGCCCAGCCATGGGGGAGGCGGGACTCGGGGACCCCTCAGCGAAGGAACCAGCCCCTCCCCCGCCACTTACTACTCGGGCGGGCCCGGCGGAGCAGCCTGGGGAGGGGGCGGGGCCTCGCGCGCCCAGCGCTTCCGGGTCCGGCGGAAGCGAGCCGGTTGCCATGGGGACGCGGCCTAGCCGCCATGGCGGGGCCGAGCTGGCTGGAGCGGCTGCGCAGGGCCCGCAAGAGCGCGCTGCTGCAAGACGGTAGCGGGGGGCTCGGGCCGGGCGGGACCTGGAGCCACGGACACGCGGGGCGGCGGCGGGCAGGGCCCAGCCCCTCCCTGCACGCGGGGGCGCTGGGCTCAGGGCGGGGCCAGGCACATGGGGGGGGAGGGAGGGGCGGGAAATGATGAGGGAAGGTCTGGGGCCAGGGAAAGTGAGGGGGGAGGGGCTGGGGCCAGGGGAGGTGAGGGGGGAGGGGCTGGGGGTGGGGGGGGGGGGGCGGGGGCCAGGGGAAGTGAGGGGCTGGGCCCCGGTTCTGGCCTCACCTTGCCCCTGTTGTGTGTAGGGAAGAGGAAGGTCCATTACCTGTTTGAGGATGGGCTGGAGATGGCTGAGGAGTACGACCTGAAGACCAGCCAGCTGCTGGGTAAGTGAGAGGTTCCCTGGGCTGGCCCCGGAGTTGCCCTTAGTAACGACTCCCCCCCGGCCTGGCGCTGTAGGAATATGTCGCCAGACGGGCGGTTGGCCAGGACGCAGCCTTCCCCCCGGCAGGCTGCAGAGTCAGTTCTGCCAGTAGCTACCCGCCTGCAACGCCCAGTGACTTCAGCAGGGCCAGCCTGGCTGCCAATGAGCGCGGAAGTGGGCGCAGGTGGCTCTGAGCTCCGTGCCACCATGGGGAACATCTCCCCCAAACGGCAGCACTGCTGCCATAAGGAATTCAGCATGGCAGAATGGCATTGCCATTTGCATTGGCCAAGGGTGCAGGGCAGAAACACGGACCCTGGTGAAAAGTGCCCCAAGGGCTTCAGTTGCCTCAGGTGGTCAAGCTTTTGGTTTTGTCTCCCTCCCTCTGCAGCGAAGGTAGAGTATTGATTCAGTACCATCTCAGAAAGAAGAGCTCCTGTGGCTGAGTCGCTGACACCACTTGCTGAGTTCAGCTGCACAGGAAGCAGCAGGCAGTGATCTGCCCTTTGGGGGAAAGGGCTGTGGTGGTCATGGGAATGAGACCCCATCAAACCCCTAGTCTGACGCAGCCAAGGCTCTGCCTGAGGTGTTTGCTGGGATTTTTCCACCAAAGAGCAGCTTAAAGAAAAGGGGTGACCTTTCTTCTTTCCTCCCCAGCTAGAAAGTGGCGAGAGAAGACTGCTCTGGGGAGCTCCGGCAAGTGGCAGGTTGAGGTGGGAGAGCCGACCATACACACTGCGGGAGCGCTGGAATCCGAGCTCATAAAGGAAAGCAGCTCCAATGTACGTAAGGTGGTCCTGCTCACAGCAGTAACTAGACCTACAGCCTCACAAGCTGCAACCACTGAGTGGCTGGGAGGCTGAGGTTATGGCTTATCTCCTTGGACTTGCCGCCAAGGTAGAACACTAAACTCTAGGGACACCCCTCAGCTGTGTTAGGACTCAGGTCTTCGGCATCCAGAAAGTGGGGGACTGGGGAGAAAAGAGAAGGCCTTGCTGTCTCCAAGGGACTTGTAGGTTTCCTAAGTGGAGGAATCTCCTTTATTGCCCTGCTGGCTGCCTCAGTTGTCTGTCCTCCATGAAGCAGCTTGAAAGGGCACCTGGAAATTCCAGTGAGTGTAAAGCACTGAGAGGGTGACCGCTCCAGTGCCTGCTATTTATATGTCCCACATGCAGTGCTTTATGCTGGTTGGTCAATCCTCCCGGGAGGGGGTTGGTGGGAGTCAGTCTTTGTCTCCATTCTACAGCTGAGGAAATCGAGGCCCTCAGACATGCCCAGGGCAGCACAAGTTAGTGGCAAAGCCAGAACTAGACTTCAGCAGTTGTGGATTTGTAGCCCCTGAGGAAAGGCAGTGGGCAGTTCCTGGAGAGCCTGAGGCCAGATTTTCTTGTACCAATGGCAGCGTAAGTCTCCCTGGCCCATCTACGCAGTGGGAGAGTGATTGAGAGGAAACCTATCCTCACGATAGGTGCAGGTGCTGCCATGGGAACAGGGAGAGAGAGTGACTCGTCCCAGGCTCCATATTGCCTGTCTGACACTCCTGGCCCCAGTCAGTAACCTTAGCATGTAACCTCGGGAGCCCACCCCAGCTCTTCCATCGGCCATGTCTGTGTTTGCTTTAGCCCATCTTCATGAGGAGAGACACTCAGAGCAGTTTCCAGTGGCGGATCCGGAACCTGCCCTACCCCAAAGAGGTCTACAGCGTCTCCGTGGAGAAGGAGCAGCGCTGTTGTGTTGTCCGTACCAGCAACAAGAAGTCAGTAAGCACAGCACTGCCTTCACCGAACCCTCCTTGCTGGTTTTGATTGGGGCGGGATAGAGCTCGAGGGGGAATAGGTGATCAGACCGGGGAGATGTTCTCTCCAGCCTCTGGGGGAGAGTTGGGTGGCCTGAGCAATTTCTTGGGTGATTTATACACATGGCTTTGCAGACCCCTCATCCCCACCACTAGTCAACTCTTGGGCTCCCCAAACAGTTCTGCTGCACCTCAGTCCTGTTCTGCAGCACCCTCTGGTATTCAGGCCTGCAGCCCCTGCCATACCCTAGGCAGTGGTTCCTCCTTTCCTCTTCCCTAGACTGGGGCCCCCCATTAATGCACCTCAGATATAACCTAGTCAGATAGTTCACTGCTATCTGTTCTGAGGCCAGGCTGCATGGGGAGGAGGGGGCATTATACCTTTGAAAGTGTAATGCCTCATGTGCCCCAATATGGTGGAGCAAACTGCAGAGTGTGTCTGTAATGGATGGAGTCAGTCCTCCCACAGCACAGCTCTCCCTGCCCTTCGTGTGGGAAGGCCCTCTGGGGGCACTGCAAGGATCACTGACCAATCCCACTGCCTCATACTGACTGTGAGCGCTGCCCAAGGAAGGGCTTCCTCTACCCCCTCCGTCCTCTAACAAACCCTCTGGTGACCATGCGATAGAACTAGAGCTGGGGAAGAGCCAGGACCCCTCCCAGCCAGCTCCCTGCTGCTTGCAATTCTCCTCAGTTCAGTAGCCTCTTCAGCAGTCAGTAACCTGGGGCTTGCTCCCTCTCCTAGATCACCGATGTAAAATAGGCCCTACCCTGATCTGGGGGGTACCCTCCTGGATACATCCCCGTAACTTGACATTGAGACGCTAATCAAATTCATCAAGTCAGGGTACCTGAAGCCACAGAAAGAGACTGTACTCAAGGACCATTGTAACTACCCAGATTGGGGGTGGGGATGTAGCCAGCTGCAGAAAGGTGCCTCAGTTACCCCAAAACAAGTCAACTTTCTGATCTAGAAGTAGAGAATGCAACCAATGGCGAAGCCAGCCCGGATCTGCCATGGGTAGGGAGGAGCTGTCAGAATAAAAGGAAGCTTAGGTCTGTCCACACAGCAGTGGGGAGTGAGCCCCCAGCCCGGGTAGATAGACTCACACGACCTTGGCTTGAGCTTGCACACTGACACCTGCAGGGTGGATGCTGCAGCTGGGGCTCTCAAGCCCACCCGAGCCCCTGGCTCTGAGCAGGGGTGACTAGCCCAGGTATCCCCTGGAGCCACAGCGTTCACACTGCTGTTTCTAGTCTCCTCCATGTAGACATACCCCTTGAGACTGCGGCAGCCCGTGGCTTGTTAAATAGAATTCCCTGCTGTATAATGACATGGTGCTTTGTGCACCGAATGAGACTGGCTCTGCCCCAAAGCGTTTACAGTCCGGGTTCAGACACGGGCCTGCAGTCATGGGGACAGAGGAGAGTTCAGACAAGGGAAGGAGGGATGTGAATGAAAATTCCCTTTCCTTCCATGTGCGAAAGGGCCTACTTGCAACTTGGGGACATTCCAGGGGTTGCTTAGCAGGAGCTGGAGGCAGCTGCCTTGTTCTGCTCTCCTCCATCTTCGAACAGTGTCGCTGGAGCCAGAAATGAGGTTACTGGGGAGAACCCCACTCTGGGATTGCCCTGCTTAGCACCCAAGCCCTCCAGTCCAGCTCCTCGTAACGGGCTGTAGGTGGCGCTGTTGCCAAATAACTGTTCCTGTAACATCTAACAAGGCCTGCACCAAAGCAAAGGGAACAAGTGGCAGCCGTAACCCTCCTCTGCCAAGTTCCCCCGCAGTCACAGAGAGGGGGGTACGGGGGGCTGCACTAGGAACAGGACATGGCCACCCCTCAGCATTTAATAACCACAAGGTCAGAAGGATGGGGGTAGAGGTGCCTGTGCTCCCAAGGAAGTGCTGAACATTTGGGGTTCTCAGCCTGGGGAGGTGCAGGCTGAATCCACACAACTGGGACTCGAGGGGGAAGAGTGGCCAGTTACTCAGACAGAACCACGTCCCAGGGCTCAACATCACGCAGCTCAGGTTTGTTCCACCTGCTCGGAGCGGGGTTCAGGCGGCTGCCTCCCACACCCTCAATGTGTTTGCTTGTAGAGGGGTTTCTATGTAGAGGAGGCACCCTTCCTTTTGCCTCTGGAGAGCTGTTTGAGTGACAAGAATGGCAACGTTTCGGCTGCAGGCCAACCTGTGATGGTGCATAGAGTTTTGCACATGCGTGTACATTTGCCATTTTCACCTTGAAGCTCGTTCAGCAGCTGGAAGGTGGGGAGGGGGCAAGCAGACAGGGACATTCACAAATGCTCGGGAGTCAGTGGTTGTGCACAGGAGTACTGAAGTGACTGGCCATTTCATTAAGCTGGAGGGAAGGATACTCACTGAATGGGCAGCGTTAGATGACTGCTGCTAGCACCTAGAAGCATTTTTATCAGAACCTCTCCCATCAGTCACTTAACTAGTAGCCTTGGAGCTGAAATCGGCCGTGTCCGACGACTTCTTATTTAGGGTTTGAGCCGGCTCCCCTTCAAAGCAATGGGTGTTCTTCCCTTCACTGGCAGCGTGCTCGGCGCTGTACAATAGAACACCAGAGTTACGAACTGACCAGTCAACCACACAGCTCATCTGGAACTGGCTCAGGCAGCAGCAGAG